AATTGATATGACGCCATCTTTTTTTTATTCCCGGTTAGGAAGAAATGGTCATTTAAAATCCATTTCATTTCATTGTATCTGAATGTCTTCATAGTCGTAAATTACATTGCAATATAAATCCCCGCAGCATGGATCAGTCATATCACTCAAAAAATAAAAAAAACATTTACAATACTCTCATATCATGGGCCGTGGCGTTACTATATCGTACGGAGCCCGTGGCAAATTAACTGGATAAGCCCTTCTTTCCAATATAATATAGAGGTAATAAAAGAATAGTTGAGATGAAAGAAAGAAAAATGTTTATTTGCATCGTCACAAAATACAAAAAACACAAAAAAATTGTGAAGACGGCACAAAAAGGTCAGAGCTCAGCTTAAATGCCGCGAACCGAGCGCAATAGCTCGAGTCGTGGCGCTGTATTTCAGCACTAACACATATCTAAAGGCTAATACAATACAACACTAATAACAAAAAAAAATGCAATACTTTTATAGAACATCTACAAAAAATATGAAATAGGAAAAAAAGATGAGAATCTCTGAACAGATCCCTCTCGGCTCCGGGGCCCGAGGCATTTTGCCACCCTGTAGTTAAGCTATTGTCCATGAATAGTGGATGATATACAAAATATGTATTAAATTTAATACTAATCTAATTTTTTAATATTCAAAAGTTTGTTTGGCCGTCTTACTCGATAATGCCCGGGTCACACCAACGAGAAATGCCATTGCTTATCGCAATAATGCACGTTTATCGTAAGTGTATCCACGAGTCAACGCTATAATTTGCCAACGGCATTCACATTGCCGTTTGGCATTCACGTTGAAATTTCAAGTGTAACCACCCAATTTATCGCGTTAAAATTATCGCAATAATTATCGTAGTAAACATCGCGATAATCGCCATTGACGTTGACGTTAGTGTGGCCTGAGCATAAAACGGAACAACGAATCGTGTTTGAAGTGTAACGTATGGAGTAGCTAGTAATAAAAAAAAACAATAAAATTATTTCAAAATTCGAATTCAGAAATAATTTCACCCAAATTGGTCTAAAAGTAACAAAATGTAAAGTATTTTTTTCCTTTCTTTTTTCAAATATTTTTGGGATCGCCTTTCAGCGGTGCCAGGTGTTTATGACGGATCTTCGGCCATCTGACACGGTCGACCCTATTCAACATCTCAAAATAAATGTTTTTTCTTTTGTGTAATGGGATTTATAGTATGTTATAAAGATATAAAAGACGTAGGGTAATAGGGTCAGATATAGGTTAAAATATCAGATTTTTTTTTATACCACGATGATGGTAAGCGGTTACCGTGGCCTATATACGCCTGCAACACTTCGAGTATTACATGCGTCTTGCCGAACCTTATGAAACCTATTCACTCCCCTCTTGAAGAACTTCATGTTGTAGCCCCCTGGGAAAACCACGGCAGGGGGAGTTCATTCCGCAATCGGAGGGCCCGTGGGAGAAAATTCCTCTCCTCTCCTCCTTCCTCAGATCAAAGCTTTGATAAATTAGTCGGTTAGAAATATGAGTTTTAACAAAGAACTGACCAATAAAAGAAAGAATAAAACAAACGGGGTAAGCTAAGTAAAACCGTCTAAAAATATGAAATTATTAACAGAATCCTTAGTCTTGGGTTCAATTCCCGGGTCGGGCAAAATATTATTGAGTTTCCAAAAAATCTCATTATTAGCACGGAGTCTAAAATTGTGTCCGGTATATGGCAAAAGACTCACCCCCGTTACATAGGACTCCTAACATAAACAGTGTGCGTAATAATGTGCGTCTCTGCCTATCCCTTCGGGGATAAAGGCCATAACATCACGTTATGTTATTTGTAGTAACAGAATTCTGTTAAACGAAACATGAATTTAATAACTGGGATTAAAAAAATCTTTTTACCTAAAAGTATTTCGCAATTCAGCCAGTATTAAAAATTCTGGACTCGATACCGTTTAAGGATTAAACCGTCCGGTTTACACATTGTTTTAATAACATGCTGTACAGGACATAACATAGCATCACGCCTTTTATCCCCGAAGGGGTAGGCAGAGGTGCACATTATGCCACTGTACAATGTAACATCCACTTTTCACTATTTATGTTATGAGTCCCATGTAATAGGAAGTGAGCCTATTGCCATATATCGGGCACAATTCCAGACTCCGTGTTACTACTGAGAATGTATAAAAAACTCAGTAATACTTTGCCCGACCCGGGAATCGAACCCGAGACCCCTTGCCCGGCAGTCGCACTTACGACCACTCGGCCAACGAGGCAGCCAAGTATATTGATATTGGAATTTTTTGATTTTCAAAGAATAACTTTACTTCACACTTAGGTTTTCTTCTGTATCTATACCTAATTATGTCGATTATGTTCTCAAACATTGACATTCTGTTTATTTAAAAATGTATTATATAGGACTTACTAATGACAATAACATACACGTGAAATTACATCATCATCATTCACATGTGAATCAACAATGCGAGCAAACTATTCAACCGAGAACTTTAAACACCGATTAACTCGCAGATTTACCTACACATAAATCACTAAAGATTTATACACATCTTGGTACAATGGTGTAAATAAAGTTATTAATCAAAAGATATTAACACAACGAATACGGCCCGCCAGTATGGATCCGGTGGGCAAGGCCGGTTTTGTGTGATAGGATAGATGCCTAATCTTTATTTTAATCTCCGTCTGGTAGATTATTTTTAATCATTAGACACGTGTTTTTATTTGTTTACAAAAACGAATACTTTCGACGATATATTAATTTGAAATGTCTTGTGACGTCACTTCTATGTACATTTTATACGTTGAAATGACGTTTTAGCCCCCAATCCTAAACTTTGATTCGATTTATCTAAGAATTGTTTTATCATACGACAAAATAAAATGATACGTGTCTAATATTTTTTTATTACTTCACTTATGGACTATTTAGATTTTGAATTTTCATACCCTGTCATCATCCCAATTGTGCTTTACACAACAACTTTACTTTACAAGATCGTTCATTAAAATCTGGCCGTGCCTTAACGCACAAATAGACGATCGAACCAAACCGTCACTTTTGTCCGCTCCGGACCATATTAGTGTGTACAACAGTCCGTCGCACATTTTCAGTAGATACCACCGGACCGCCGAACAAAATTGACGGTACGGTTCGATCGTCTATTTGTGCTCTTACCCGCCAGGTCCGTGCCAGTCAGCCGGCGGCTCCAGTGTGTAGACAAGATACCTCAATAGTTTCAAATTTCAAACTTCCCTAAACTAAGTTTGACGTAAGGAAGTACCAGCAAACTTGGCCCAACTAAGTTGTACTTCTAGTTGTAATTCAAATGTCGTGTTAACATTGTAATAGAGAATTGAACGTGAAGGTGTGTCTATAAATAATACATTTTTAACTCGTCGAGTACCGTCATTATAGACACAATTATAGAACAATAGGTTGCGGTCACCGGTGACCGCTTGGTGTTTGACAGTTTAAAAACAAATTCTAAAATCTGAAAAAATCTGCTCGAGGATCTGGAACTGTGTTTTTTCTAAGGACGGAACATCATCGTATGACTTCTCCTGGGCCCGCCTCCCTATCAAACTCTTGTGGACTAAAAACGGACGTTCCTACTCCTGCACTTCGAGCCGGAGTCTCTGTAACCTTTTACGTTCTCCGTGGCTCCGTATCGGCATCAGCCCTATTGAGCCTCATCGCTAGTGGTCTGATAGCTCTTTGAGGAGCGCGCGAAACACGACGCGCCGATGTGGTCGGACGGCGAGCTCTGCAACTGTATTAAGACGATGTTTAAGAGTATAAGCAATGAAATACCTACATACATGAATAATTATAGTTTCTATTTTTATACTCAGCATTATATAATTATTTCATTTTTATCGCAAAAATACCACACAACAAGTTATATAAAAACCAGTATAAACTATCCGGTAATTGTGCGAAACGATAATTATTAAGTGAGCTCATGATATGCTGGTTTTGTATGGCTCGAGGTGATGCCGTGTATACCTATTTTTTTAAATTAGTAATGTATTTACTTATAAAATTAAGGTACCTAATAAATAAAACAATTTTATAAACATTTTGTGGTAATTATTAATTATATTTTGTTGTATATTTCTGCCTATATTGAAATAAATATTGCCTCCTGTTGTGGTTGGAAGGTCTATTATAATTATGCCTAACTCTCTCTCTTCAGGCATATCAGAGAATTCAAAGTTGTGGGCTATACACAAATTGTGTAATACACAGCAGTCGTTAATTATTTTAGTAGCCTTATTAGGTGTGTAATGTAACACCCTATCCTTTTTTTAAAGTATTAAAAGACACCTAAATCGGCCCTTTAGCACTCCATTACAACGCTCGATAGTGGATCGCGTTTTCTTAAACTGTCAAACACCAAGCGGACACCGGTGACCGCAACCTATTGTTCTTTAATTGTGTCTATAATGACGGTGCTCGACGAGTTAATTGTGTCTATAATAACGGTGCTCGACGAGTTAAGTGCTTCATTGTAGAGAATGCACAAATCGAAAAGTCTATACCGAATTTCCAGTAGGTATGAGATGCAAAGCCGTATTTTATTTCAAAACGAAAGAAAAAAGACACTACAATCCCAAAATCGAACGAATTCACTCAGAAATGGCGTATCTCTACAATCGACATGCCATCTCTACTGCTCAGAAGCACTCGACATGAACTCTAACGTTAGCCTTCGACAAATGTCGCATTCGACATCTCCAGAATAGCAACTTTTAAAATTTGACGAAAAAATTACGTCATTAGACATTTTTGTCGAGTTCGACATCATCTCTAAAGCCGAGAATTGGCCCCCAAATCTTATTTGGAGGTTGTAAACGCACCTACGACACAAGAGAAAATTCTAGTTGTACGTTTTAAAAAAGTATTATAATCTTTTGTACACAGCTTACTAAATATATTTGTCTCTTCCCCACTTACAGATACACCCTTGATATGGAACAGTCGGATGTGATCACCTGTCTCGCTCTGATCTCCCATGTGATGTGCTACGCGAATTCTGCTATCAATCCTTTGATCTACAACTTTATGAGTGGTGGGTATTCTAAGCACATTATTAAATATGTTCATATAAAAAAGGTGTAGGCAGAAACGATGTCTGCTCCCACTTTTGTTTGTCATTTCTCTTTCTAAGTTAAAAGTCCAATAATATTCATTAGATAAGAACATGCTGCCTCGTTGGCCGAGTGGTCGCAAGTGCGACTGCGGCAAGGGGTCTCGGGTTCGATTCCAGGGTCGGCCAAAGAACTACTGGGTTTTTGAAAAAAAAACTAAGTAGTAGCACGGAGTTTAAAACTGGCCCGGTATCCATATACCTATATAGGCTCACCCCCTATTAAATGGGACTCATTACATAAATAGTGAAAAGTGTGCATCAGGGCATCTTGTTATCAGATGGCAAACTTTGTTTTTATAAATGTGTAGCGCGATGTTTGGCCCCTTTTATGCTTTTTTTTTAAGGGGGGAAAATCATCGAATGGCTGCTCCCGCCTGGGTGAGGCGGAAGGGAGTGTCAGACTCTTATTGACTAAAAACCACCCCGTTCCTTCTCCTGCACGTCGAGCCGGAGCCCCGGTTACCCGTTAGGTTCTCCGCGACGCCCCTTTTATGCTTAGTGGTAAACGATAATATGGCGTATGATGAATGAAGCACGGCTGTCCATAAGCAACCATTTTATTCGGCCCTTGAAGATAACATTCAACAAACATAGACTCTAGCAGTTAATTATCAAGTTTCCCCTATAAAGTCACTCAAAGGATCCTTGTTCTATTACTTATAATGTCAAAATCTCTCAATAATACCGTCTTATTTTTTTTTAATTTAAACTGTCAAACACCAAGCGGTCACCGGTGACCGCAACCTATTGTTCTATAATAGGCGTGTCGACAGGGTAAAAAAATCAAAAAAGTAATTAGTCCGTCATTAAGATCGCACGAAAATATCAGACACGTATTTTTTGTTTTATCAAATTAACAGAAGAATACGTAGTTATTCCGCATTAAAGTTAGGGAGTGGGGGGTGTTGACGTCACACTTACGGAGAAATCGTACCTAAGTGTGATGTCACGCGTCATTTTAACTCAAAATATCTACATGTTTTTTTGGATACGAGAAAAAAGAAAAAATACGTATCGAAGATTTTTAAAATATCTAAAAGACGGACAAAAAATTAAAAAATAGTCGCCATGCCTATTGTGTCTATAATGACGGTACTTGACGAGTTAATATGCTTCATGCACAAAATGTACAAATAGGTGGACTTAATGCCGCAGGCATTTTCTACCAGTCTGACCTTTGGGTGATGCAAAGAAGAGTGGTAGGTTCAAGAGGCAAGCAGTGATTTTATTTAACAATGAAAGATAAAGTAATACATTTCAGAGATATACATATATAAATAAATATAATTTTAATATATACCTACACATGAGTATAATATGCCTACATACATACATAATATAAACTCTTAACAGAGTCTTTAAACTTGACACTCCAAGCGAACTAATTATACGATCTAGCGATTACTCAAAAAAAATCATAATATTCTTTCTCCAATTTTCCAGGAAAATTTCGCCGTGAATTTCGTCGAGCGTTCTGCTGCTCTACGGCGAGTGATTTAGAGACCTTCACAACTTTGACCCGCATCACGACCTCAAAGAAGCGACCTTGTGACCTTATGACCTTTGACACTAAGGCCCAAGGTCGAAATGTGTGTAACACTACCTTTATTCATAATAGTTATAAGGACAGGTACATACTAACATAATTAGTTTAATTTGTTGGTTTGGAATTAATTTTAAGTACATATCGAAGTAACTTGGTGTTAATGTAAGTCATTACAATCATAGTTTATGAATTTTTGAAATATGACCTATAATACATAATTATGTTTATTTATACGTTAGTTCACAAATTTGTGCCATGAGATTGGACAGAAGAGCTACAAAATGCCACATCATATTATATACAAGAAGCGGTTCGTGGGCGTTCATTTAAGGGTGGGCTGTCTTCCATTGCAATCCGTGAAAAAACCCTCGGTTTATAATCTCTTGGTTTGGTAAAGCAGGTCTCACTATAATTCAACTTAAAATAAACAGTAATTTCTTGGAACTTCTACGGCATATACTTCTTTAGCGTCCATCACATCACACATACATATCTCGGAACAGAGGGTTTGTTTTACGGTTAACGAGATCGAATGAGACCACGTTCAGCGCTTAGAGGCCTTAGTACGAGTTTGATTTATATTTAAAGTAATCGTAACGAGATCGCGTTCGGCGCTCTGATTGGTTGGTTCATTGTCGCCGGCCAATCAGATTGCCGAACGCGTACTCGTTTCGAATACTTTAAACGTAAATCAAACTCGTACTAAGGCCTCTGATTGGCCGACTCCAATGAACCAACCAATTAGAGCGTCGGACGCAATCTCGTTTTCATCTACTAAGCCCTCAGAAGCATGCGGTTAAGAATAAAAAAGTGGTGGATATTTTAATTATGGTTTCTCTTCTCCTAATATGTATTTCTATTTTTGTATAAGGACTTAAAAAAGATTGCACATGCATGTTAAACTAGGTTCGAAACTGTCTAAAAAGTCATATCGGTCTTTCTGGGTCTTTCTGGGCGATCTGATGGCTTAGGGTGGAAGAATAACTACTTGAATGCCCGTTTATAAGACACTATAGAATATACATCGTGTCTCGCGTGGGTCCACGTTCAGACACATGATGCGTTAATTGATTAAAATCACCAAAATTAAATTATTTGGGAAAAGAGGTTTATTAACAAAAATGTTTCTTTTTTTTGTCTCAAATATTTTTTTTCCTTTCAGAGCAAACCCTCTTCAAAGCCCATAGATAAGCCAGGTGCAAAATAAAAATCTGGAATTATGTTCAGTATTTTTATGTTTCGTCAAGTGCCCACTTGTACCTCTGATGTTGTTGTATCAGGTAATCAGTCTGTTCGCTTGCCGACCTTTCTCACAAAAAAATGAACATCCTAAGGGATGTTCATTTTTAAATATAGGATTTTTAGTTGAATCATTAGGGTAGATATTGGGCGTGTCTAGAATGTTTTCCGGGAGTGTTAAAAGTTGGAAATTTTAAAGATTTTAATGAAATTATAGACATACATATTGTAAAACAAATACAAATATTTTCATCTAAGAATAATGATTTTTATACGTCATATTTTGTTTTGTATACTTTTAATAAACGTGAAATAAGTTAATATTGTTAAAATTTCGTTATTTCGCTAGACTGCCGAAGATGAATTTTTAATTTAATATCTATTACCTTTTAGTGGATATTTTGTGTACCTAATAAAACTAAAATCCAGTGAAAATGTTGATATAGTTTTGATTAATTTAAATAAGTATAAATATTATAAATTATATTGAATGGTCGACATGCCAAAGAAGCTTGACGAGGCACCGCGCGCCTCACATGTTTGGCATAATGTTTTCATCTGTACGCTATGTTATTTAAGGTTTATTTTTAATTGATTTATTCTCAATATCTTCGCTGCGTCTCCGTCGATGTGCGTTAGGCTATACGTTTCTTATCAACTCCCTAAAACGAGTGTCTCGGAAGAGTAATTTTCTCCCTTTTTTTGTCGGAGGAAAATCGTCTAATAATTTCTCCCGCCTTGGATTAGGCGAGAGGGAGTGTCAGACTTTCATTGACTAAAAACCATCCCGTTCCTATTTCTGCTCTTGGAGCCGGAGCCCCGGCAACCCATTAGGCCTTCCGCGGCTCCGTATCGGGCATCAGCCATACCGGGCCCCATCTGTGGTGCTCTGATGGCTCTTCCAGGCGCGCGCGTGGAACGTGACGTGCCGGAAAGGGCCTAGTTCTGGTCGGGCGGCGAGCTACTCTTGCTCGCTGTCCACAGACCTGCACTCACAGTGGCTGGAGATCGTCGCGCGATCTCCGATGCCCGAAGTGTCTCCCGCGACGGCTGGGGCGTGAGGAGGTTCGTGCCTTCACGCGCCCCAACTACTCCTTGGCAAGCATAGTAATTTACACCTAGTATGTCAATGTGTAAGTAAGCCCTTCAATAGTAAAAAGTCATTCATAATAATGTGTTAGACTATATTGACATTAGCTTCGAAAACATCATTGTAAAGGTACGAATAAAGTACGACACAAATTGTGACATAAATGTCCGACATTAAGGTCTATACTGTTTTTTTATGGCATAAGCCGGTAAACGAGCAGACGGATCACCTGTTGGTAAGTAATCGGCGTCGCCCGTGGACACCTGGAACACCAGAGGCGTTACAAGTGCGTTACTGGCTCATAAACCCGCTGATACGACACTAATATATCGCGTCACAATATTTTTTTAATTACAGACACTCATGTTTATACACAGACATTTGATTTATACACTGAGTGTAGAGGTATAATGTATGTATAATATCGAGTCTATTCATGCCTAAAGTGATTGACACTCACTTCTTGTCTAAGTATTATTTTTAATAATAATTTTTGCATATGTGTGATAGGTAATAATTTTGATTAGTAGAAAAAAACTGTTACGCTATGATTTTGCTGTAATTTTATACTTTCTAAAGGTATGAATATACACAAATTCTGACATAAATGTCGGACATGAATGTCTGTACTGTTTACAATTACACAGATGGCGAGCGGCAGATGCGACTATAAAGCTAAGGATTTACGGCGCGATTTTCTCCCTCGCCGAAAACTGCAGAGTTTTAAAATGCCGTTAACATTCCGCCACCACGGCGGGCGTGGGAGAAGGTCGCGCCTTGAGTCCTTAAGCCTTACTATTATCGTGTCACAATAAGTTATAAGGCTAGTTTTAGTCTGACGTTGACGGCACGCCACGGCGCTGATGGCTGAGATATATGAACTTCTAGGAAGCCTTTTTGAATCACGCGTAGTTGTCTGCGCGTACGGCGGTTAGCGCTGACCACCAAGTTCAGGGTGATTTTATTGTCACACTGACGACACGCTGACTGTCAGCGCTGACAGCCGAGAAATATGAACATCTAGGAACCGTGCGCGCTGATAGCTACGCGTTATTCAAAAACTAAACCTAGATGTTCATATTATTATTTTTTTATTGCATAAGCCAGTAAACGAGCAGACGGATCACCTGATGGTAAGCAAAAGCACCGGTTAGTGCGGTGGCTGGGCAACCGGCTGCCACGCAACGTGTCGCGGGTTCGATTCCCGCACGGAGCAATTCTTTGTATGATCCACAAATTGTTGTTACGTGTCTGGGTGTCATGTGTATGTGAACTTGTATGTTTGTAAACCCACCCACAACACAGGAGAAAATCTTAATGTGGGGCAACGTTTAAAAAAAAAATAATAATAAATTGGCGCCGCCCATAGACACCCGAAACACCAAGGCGTTACAAGTGTGTTACCGGCCTTTTGGGAATTGGGAATTTGAGGATTGTGAAGGATTCGGGGTTTTGGGAGACTAGGGAGGAGGGTAATTGGGCCTCCGGTAACCTCACTCACACGACGAAACACAACGCAAGCGTTGTTTCACGTCGGTTTTCTGTGAGGCCGTGGTATCACTCCGGTCAAGCCGGCCCATTCGTGACGAAGCATGGCTCTCCCACACTTAAATAATAAATATGTCTTGTACGCATCAAGCGCTGATGTCCAAGATACATGAACTTCTGCGCGCACCGTCAGCGTGAGACAAAAATTTAGCCTTAGAAATTACAGATTTCAAGTGCGAATAGAGACATTCGATTTATACACTGATTATAGAGGTAGTGTGTAGTGTCGTACCGTTACAGAGATTATAATGTTCAGTACACATAGTTTTAATTCTATCTGTAAATTTTAGATCTACTGATTTACATTTTATAGTAAATTGTAATTATTTAAGTCTATAAAAACGCAGTTTACGGCAAATGTTATTAGAGATTAAAATCTAGTATATATTTCTGTATTATCTATTATAAATGGCAATAGCCTCACCCCCTATTACATGGGACTCATAACATAAATAGTAAAAAGTGGCTGTTACATTGTACAATGGCATTAAGTGACGTAATGTGCACCTCTGATGTTTGATGTTATTTTATGTTGTATTGTAAATAAGAAAATAATTTGGTTTATTTATCACACTTTTATGCCAAAACTGCTAAACCCATTTTGATGATGTTTATTAAGTAAAATGAGAAGTTTGATCTTTTAATTGTCATGTTAGGTACATGAAGTGTTACGGTATTTTTTATCAATTTTTAGGTTACATTAATTCGACTAGTTAATGTAAGATTACAAGTAAAAAATTGAAAGAAAAGATTTTAAAAAATATCTAGTTTTATGTGTGAATAGAATTTTTGTAAATATTATTTATATATTAATATTGAAGTGTTTTGTGAATGTTTTATGCCTAAGGAATTTAGTTTACATTGTATTAAAATTTCATTTTCATAATAAATAAAACATTACAGTTTTTTGGTTTTAATTTTTACAATGACCTATATATGAGAGTCTTTGTAACCAGTGATGAATGGTTATATTGTAGGTAAATCTACATCTTTGCTTAAAATAAAGGCGAGATCTCCATAAAACCGTAAGGTTAATTACCTACTAACGCAGAGACAAGGTGAACTGAAGCGTCTCAATCCAAAACTGAACATGACAAATTCGACCTTATGTATTTATCTGGGTGCACAGCGGTACCCCCGCCAAGTCGAGCGCGAAGCAAACATTAATTTAACACCACAAATTATTTGTAAGATTTTAAAAAGTTACGCGCATTCGAATTCGCTGCTCTGCGTGTGAACAACGCTGAATCAGATGACAGAAATTATGTGCTTCGACTTTGTGCTAGCATAAATGGACCATAAACGAGTATCAGAAGATTACCTATATTGACTGATGTTTCTGATGTCGCGAGTGTTGACACTCAAACCTTCAGGGCAAATTCTTAGAATGGAGGTGTAACCAATATACTACGACATAAATTGATTTAAGTATTATTTAAATCACTTGCTTCCTTTTCCCAACAACTATTGTGTTCAATTTAACTATATTATCGTTACATAGTCAAGTAGTCTCACACAAGAGATACTGCTCTGACAAAAACTTTACAATATTTTACGCAACGCCATCTTTTAACTAATTTTAGTACTATCTATTTGCAGTTTTCATTTTCATTAGAGCCCCGGTTCCCGACAGTTTCGGTAAAAATATAAAGATGGAGTTAGATTAGTTGATGAAAA